GTAGTAGTACTAGTAGTAGTAGTAGTAGCAGTAGTAGTAGTAGTAGGAGTAGTAGGAGTAGTAGGAGTAGTAGGAGTAGTAGGAGTAGTAGGAGTAGTAGTAGTAGTAGTAGGAGTAGAGTAGTAGAAGTAGTACGACTGGTAAGACTTGTAGGAGTAATCGGAGTAGTAGGAGTAGTAGGAGTAGCAGGAGTAGTAGGAGTAGTAGGAGTAGTAGTAGTAGTAGTAGTGGTAGTAGTGGCAGTAGTGGTAGTAGTGGTAGTAGTAGTAGTGGTAGTAGTGGTAGTAGTGGTAGTACTGGTAGTAGTGGTAGTGGTAGTGGTAGTGGTAGTCGTAGTAGTAGCAGTAGTAGTAGTAGAAGTAGTAGTAGTAGTAGTAATAGTAGTAGTCGTAGTCGTAATAGTAGTAGTAGTAGTACTACTACTAGTACTAGTAGTAGTAGTAGTAGAAGAAGTAGTAGCAGTAGTAGTAGTAGTAGTACTAGTCGTACTAGTAGAAATCCTAGCAATCCTAATAATCGTAGTACTAGTAGTACTAGTAATAATAATCACCCCTTCTTGATTGCCACTTACAATCAGATAGCAGCAACAGACTCCAGACCCTGGGGTCCCAGTTCCAAATCATGTTGTTTTCGCCCAAAAGTGTGGGTATGGAAATTTGAAGCATCATCAATCTCCATACTGACCATCATGAATCTCCAATATGAGTTTGTACAAGAATGGTGTGCCCCCAAGACTGGTGGTTTCCCATCAATAATGGTGATGAAACATAGACTTGGATGGTCAGTAAGTATTACCGCCTATGGGCAACCCCGATTAACTACCCCGATTAACTTACTTTCTACCTACTTTCTGCTTGACATCGCCTACATTGCTGCCCGTTTTCTGCTCAAGATTCACAATCTGCAAAACATAATGCCGCTATATGAGGATGGTTACCAAAAAAGAAACAAATCCTGCATTCTGGCAGTAAAGTCCGGATTCCTTCCGGAATTGTCAGAGCACTTGTGGGGTTTCAGCTAGAGCTGGGACATTGAATTCACCCAAAGTACTGCCTGTAGATAGCTCTGAAATGAATCTGAAATGAGTCTGAAATGTGTCTGAAATTGAAATGTGACTGAAATGAATCTGAAAGAGGCTTGCAAGGACTTCCTTCCTTCCCGTGTGGGCCCAGGCTCCAATCAGAGAGCTTTCCTGACGCAGTGTTGTATGGTCCAGCATCACGAGCAGCCTCAGACATTCGCGTCTAGGACAAGAGAGATCAGAAGAGGAAGGGTGCTTAACCACGCTCACTATGTGGAGGTCACATGGCTGCTATTTGAGATGTTCACCGGCTAGAAACAAATCAATGGATTCTGCTTGTCGGGCCCGGATTCGGTCCGGATTCGGTCCGGATTCGCTGCAAGAGATTCATGTCCGAACTTACTTTCTACCTACTTTCTGCTTGACATCGCCTACATTGCTGCCCGTTTTCTGCTCAAGATTCACAATCTGCAAAACACAATGCCGCTATATGAGGATGGTTACCAAAAAAGAAACAAATCCTGCATTCTGGCAGTAAAGTCCGGATTCCTTCCGGAATTGTCAGAGCACTTGTGGGGTTTCAGCTAGAGCTGGGACATTGAATTCACCCAAAGTACTGCCTGTAGATAGCTCTGAAATGAATCTGAAATGAGTCTGAAATGTGTCTGAAATGTGACTGAAATGAATCTGAAAGAGGCTTGCAAGGACTTCCTTCCCGTGTGGGCCCAGGCTCCAATCAGAGAGCTTTCCTGGGGTAGTGATCGTATGGTCCAGCATCACGAGTAGCCTCAGAGTAGTAGGAGTAGTAGGAGTAGTAAGAGTAGTAGGAAAAGAGGCTGAGCTTGAACATGGCCACTGCCCTTCGAAAAGGTCCGGCAATGAAACCAAAACATAGAAAATAACACATCTTTCTTGCAACTGAAAAGCAGAACAAAGCAATGATTTAGCTTTTTTTAAAGCCTCGTAAACAATGCTTTTATAGCTCCAAGAGACGCGGTGAACGTAGGGGGTACGAGTGGCTAACGGACGTGGTGACGAACGTAAGGCGAACGAGTGAACGGACGAGTGCACGTGTGAGCGAACGAGTGAACGGACGTATGCGTACAAGTGGACGGACGTGTGCGCGTACATGCGTGCGTTTGCACGTTCACTGGCCGCACGCGCGCGCACGTACGAAAATAAGGTCGACTGGAGTCGACCTTATTTCTGTACGTGCGAAGCGCTACAATACTAAATCAATACTAAAAAGGTAGAGAAAGGCAGGGTCGTGCAAAAATAAGGTCGACTCAAGTCGACCTTATTTTCGTACGTGCGTGCGCGCGTGGCGAGTGACTGTGCAAACGCACGGACGTACGCTCACATTTCGCTCGCACGTACACTCACTCGTACATACATACGTTCGCACGTACGTTCACTCGCACGCATGTCGTTCACACACACGTTCATACCCCCGTTCATGTCACTCGTCACTACACGTACGCTAGATAACAAAAATATGTTTACGAAACTTTAAAAAAAGCTAAGCAATGATGCTGTAACCGAAGGAGCATAGAGTCTGAGATGGTGAGCCGGAAGGTGTTTCAGAGTGGTTTCAGACCGGTTTCAGACCCTTATGGGGCTTCTGACGGGGCTTTGCCCTTTTCCCGGAAAAGAGGCTGAACTGAAACATGGCCATTGCCCTTCGAAATGCTCCGGCAATGAAACCAAAACATACAGAAAGAACACATCTATCCGGCTAATAAAAAGGAACTATTAAACCAAGCAAAGGTGCTGTAAACAAAGGAGCATAGAGTCTGAGATGGTGAGCCGGAAGGTGTTTCAGAATGGCTTCAAACGGTTTCAGACCCTTTTGGGGGCGCTCACGGGCTCCGCCCTCTTTCCGGCCAAGAAGCTGAACTTGAACACGGCCATTTTGGAAATCAAAAGTTCTTAGGTGAATTCTGAGAAGGTAAGCTTATTTCCCCTAAGGGAAGTGTACTAAAATAGAGGTGTCGACTGCCCTCTTACAATATTTGTTTGGTTACGGAAGTTCCAAAACGGCCGTTTTGGAAATCGAAAGACCCAAGCTGAATTAAGAGAACGTAAGCTTATTCAGCTTTAGGAAAGTGTGACCAAATAAGGCTGTCGACTGCTCTCTTCGAATGTTTGTTAGAGTACTGGAGTCCCAAAACGGCCACTTCCGGCAATCAATGTGTCTGAGATGGTGAGTAAGAAGGTGTTTCTGACCAGTTTCAGACCAGTTTCAGACCAGTTTCAGACCAGTTTCTAGTTGCAGTTGTAGTTGTAGTTGCTGCAGTGGTAGAAGTAGTAGTAGTTGGAGTAGTAGGAGTAGTAGAAGTAGTAGTAGTAGTAGTAGTAGGAGTAGGAGTAGGAGTAGGAGTAGGAGTAGTAGTAGTAGTAGTAGTAGTAGCAGTAGCAGTAGTAGTAGTAAGAAGTAGTAGTAGTAGTAGTAGTAGTAGTAGCAGGAGTAGTAGTAGTAGTAGTAGTAATAGTAGTAGTAGTAGTAGTCGTCGTCGTAGTAGTAGTAGTAGTGGCGGCAGCAGCAGCAGGAGGAGGAGGAGTAGTAGAAGTAGTAGTAGCAGTCAAAGAAATAGTAATAATAGTAGTAGTAATTTTGAAAAATTCGCACCCATTATAAAAACAATAATAATTTTAGTATTAGTAATAGCAATCAAATAAGAATAGTAGCGGTAATATTAACACTAACAACACCAATAATAGTAGAAGTACATTAATATTAAAGGTAATAATGGTAGTATTAGTAGTAGTCATAGAAAGCTGGAGCTACCCTGAGTCTGTAAATTGGAAGCAACTGCCCAATTGGTCTGAAACAGGTCTGAAAAGGGTCTGAAAACACAAAAAAATGCCATTCGCAAGCCCTGCCACATACATAGATAGAGTAAGTTGTGAGGGCCAGTATGAAAGTGAATAAATACGAGCAAGTAAGCAAACAAAATAATGTGATGCAAAAAAAGAAACTAAAGGAACCAGAAAAAGTAAAATAACACAGTCAATATAGAATTAACAAAAGATACCTTCAAGTAAGCAAGTGAGTAACATAGGTATTGCCCGTAAAGTACAGACGGAAAGTAGAGCAATCAAAGCAAGTACATGATTGAGCAAGTAAGCAAAATGAATAAAAGAAGTCAAGTAAATCAAATACATAAAATGAGCAAGTAAGTAAGAAAATAAAAAACAATTAAAAAAACTAAATCGAAGTAAACAAAAAATAGAGTAGGATAAAGTAAAATAAGTAGAGTAAAGTAAATAACTAAATTAAAATAAAGAGACTAAGTCAAAACAAGTAAAATAAGTAAAGTGAGTTAAGCCAATTAAGTAAGTAAGCCAAACAAAACCAGTAAAAATAAATAAAGAAAATAGACTAAGTGATAATTAAGTGAATACTGAATATTTAACATTCAAAAACAAGTACGAGAATAATGATGAAAGGCAACTGAAATGATGAAAGTGATCCGGGAGTGTGGTCGCGCAAGAAACGCGCAAGGTTGGCGCAAGCTCGGCCCAAGAGGCCTTTGTGGGAACAGTAATTTAGGACAACCCCCACATAACATCTCAGGTGTGTTTGGAATATCTGTGATTTCCGACCAACCTGTTTACCCATTGTTATTTAATAACAATGTACCATGTTAGCATCTACAGCGGCTGTAGCTTGATTTACTACTAAATAGAGTGCTCTTGGAAAAGAAAGCGAGTCCGACCTTTCGAGTGTCCAGTCTGTCCTCCCAATCTTTTCTATTTGTACACTGGTTTCGCATTCGGTATGGTTATTCACGCTCACGCAGGCTTATGAAAAGTTGGAAACTAGCAAGGATTGCAGCAATTGTGATTCTTATGTTATCTCGCCTGAAGCTTCCAGCTCTTTGTGATAAAAATCAGCAGCTGGCCATCTAAGCGCAGTGCTGTTTCAGTATTTTCGCTTTCAGTATTTCCACACAATCATGGCTCCTTGGCCTCCAAGGTGGTGTTTGACACAGGCTCAGGACATTTCATTGTTCCCTCCAAGAAGTGTGAGGCCTGGAGCAATGAACTGCAAGATGAAGCTTTACAGACGACTCAGATGACTCTTTGGTTAACGCATGATATTATATCATATTACATCATATTCTATCGACATTCATTGATGCTGTTGATACTATGAGATTTTCGACTGGATTTTTCGATGGTTTTTTCACATGCGCTCTGCGCTCGCAGATGCCAGCATGTTCTAATCATTCTGCATACGCATGGGCCCCAGCAGCACCAGTGATGACAGGTACCATCAGATTTGGGCTGAGAAAACCATAGAAAACCATAGAAAACCCACGTAAGGACCGTCAGTTGTCCCTTTCAGCTGTGGACCTTGACCATGATGGAAATGAAGTCCCCTCCAACTCAGAGCGGGACCAGGCGTGGGGGAAGTGGCATTGCATTGAATGAAACTGGCAGGAATCTCGATACGTTTGCTGATACGTTTGCTATGCGCAAGCCACGCGAACTCATGAAATTTCGAAATTTCAGCTATTGGATCTATCGGAAGATGGCAGTGAGACTGTTGTAGGTGGCAATTGCCTACGGGACTGGAGAGGTGGTCGGCGAGTTCGCCCGTGAGGACAGTTTTACCGCGGGTCACAAGTCCGAAGTGGTCATAGCGCGAAGTGGTCACGTTTTCTACTTTAAGAATCTTTAAGAGACTTTCTACCTTGCAGGCTGTGTGCTTGTCGAACCATGAGGGACAGAATGAGGAGGAGGGTTTGAAATCCTCCGACTGTCTTCAGGCCTGGATTTTCTTTCTTTGCGTGGTGTGAAGCTAATTTTGAGTAGCAAAGCAGCTTTTGAAGCAGCTTTTGGTGGGTTTAATGATCAGCATCTGATTGTCATCATGTCGAGAGCATTGTCAGCTTCATTTTGTCGTTGCTCGCAGTCTGGTCGTGTTCTTGGCTGCTGTGTTGTCCATGTAATCCGTATTCCATGTCATGGTTCTTGCTCTTTGTGGTTCTTCTTGGTCTTGCAACTTATTCTTCTTGTGCTGGTGGTACTGTGGTGTCGTGGTGTCAGCCATGCAACGTTTTCAAGCCATTTTGATAGTTCGTCGATACTCTGGCAATCACAATGTCCAAGCCAGCCCATTTTATGGCTCGTTGGTGGAGGTTTTACATTTCCATATCATTGTTGGCTCTTTGAAGATTGCTAGAGTCTAGAGGCCTTCAGAGTAGTTTGAAAGACCGAAAGATGATTCCGAGATGTTTCCAGCTAGCAGGTCAACACAAATTCGACGTCAAAGTCTCTGAGACTTTGCAAGCACCAAAAGCATATTAAAAAAGCACTTTGTAAACTTTTAAAATAAACATGACAGGTTCTTGGTTCATTCTCTGACGAAGCAGAATCCCTTATAATCACCTGATAGACTCATACAGACACGCTGCGTGGCAGGTTCGAGTGGTCCAAGCCACGGAAATGACAGATGAACCATTTCAGCAGTTTGAGCTCTGCCCTGAGTTCAGCAGTTCTGATGGTGCAGAACTCAAAGCAACATTTCCATGATGTTTCATCACTCGCAGGTTTGATGGAGTTCTGGGCTTGGGTTTAGAAAGCCTTGCTCTGGATCCAGAGTTCAGCTTCTACGGCCAGATGGCAAGGCACCAGTGCAGCTTGTAGGTTTTGCATGGCTTTGCTTTCAGTCTCGTCAACTGATTTTTTTCCCGCATGAAGGCTGCAGCGCATGGCTGGAATTTGCATCAGCAGCCATTCAGGGCTCAAGTGCAAGAGGTTCAAGCGCCGGGGCTTGACCACCCAGAGGGTGTCACCAGCGCTGCTCTTCACAAATTCAAGGGGTTGCTGATGGTTGCAAGCTTTTATTTGCAGATATTTAGTTGCTCTTTTTTCAGTGTTGTTGTACATTGTTGTCATATGTTGTCATATAACATGTCGTGATTGTTTGCACTACCTCAAAGCTTTTCGGCGCTGAATTTACAACGTGCCCCAAAGGCTGATTGCTTTGATCGGTGGCGATGCCCATCTACGAAGAGAAAGTGATTTCCCCTTTTGCAATTCATTTTATACAGGACCAACACTGATTGTGGGCTGCATTTCGTGTGGAACGAAAAGGCTTGCAAATCTCTCATTGACATCAATGCATGTATTTAGACTCTTAGACATGAACCCAGATTGCATGTATTTAGACTCTTAGACATGAACCCAGATACTGGCACGCAATAGTTATATGTTAGAACTGTTGCAAATTGGCTGAAAGTTAGACATGATTTGAAAAAAAAATGAAATCTGCTTCGCAAGTTTCTTTTTCAGGAGCACATCAAGACCCATTTCCAAGATGGGCGAGTCGTCGAAGACACTGTCCCTGAAATCCAGTTGAATCCATCAGGTTGGACCAAGCTCCCATTTCAACAGGAAACGTTTCTTGTGAAAACTGATGAATATGATTTGCGAGTTCCCTGCAGATGGAAAAGACTTTGACCTCATTCTCAAAGCTCCGTTTCCGAACATTGAGATCCTTCGTTGGGAGCCACCACATTGCCGAGACAGAGAGGCCATCGACAAAGATGACTTGACAAAGTTCGATCAAATCTGAAAGCAACTTGCAGTATCCTCAATTCACAATGATTCACAATGATTCACTGCTGTCACAGGCGAAGAATTGGTATACTTTGGACAACCGTCGTTTGTACTGTTTGCAGCGGATGGCAGCTGAGCACCTTGGTGCGCATTGCCTTCCAGCTGCTTCCAGCTGCCATGGGCCTGGTGACTCACGTGACTCACGGTGACTTGAGGCATTGGCCGAAGCGCGTGGGTGCTGTTGTTGACATTTTGTACGCTGACACCGGACGGGTCCGGAAGAAGTACGACTCGACGACGGAAGGACGCTCTGTGACCATATCTCCCTCGGTGAAGGCGTGCAACAGCCACAAAACTTACAAGCATATCAAAAAGCTTCAAGAAAATAAAGAGAGAATCATTTCTTGAAAGTGTAGATAAAGACGGCGCGTACAGATGTGTACAGTAACTAAGTTTCAAACTTCCACTATGCGATCGATATGAAACAGGTTCTAACATGTTGCGAATCGGTATGTGTCAGTTGAGGCGTGGCCTAGCCTTGTTGCGAGGTTCCAGCTCTTAGACGATGGGACTGGCGGGTGCAGATTGCACAGTCTCGACTTGTGGGTCAAGATGAAGCAGCGAAAGCTATGGACGCTGTGAATAGAGACTGTGTCTCTCTTCTGCATATTTCTGCATTATTTCTGCATTATCTAGGCATTATCTTTTGCACAGTCTGTGTTTCCCGAATGCGTAGCGAAGGGTTCTTGTTTTACTTTGGGGGTCTGGGTGTGGAGAGCCTGTTCGCTCGACGCTGCTTTTGTGTCCGCAACCGTTTGCAACTGTCCTCAGCACCGCGGTGAAGGCCCTATGGCCGTGCCTATGGGGAGTGCTGCAAAAGTGGTCACTTTTGGAAGTTCAAATGTCGTGTAACTTCGTTTCGTGTGGGTGGCGTGGCGCTTTGTGAAATTCCAACATGTTTCATTACGCGTCAGAAAGTCGTTCTGTGTGACAGGTGCAATGCTTTTTCAGAGGATGAGTTCCATTTTTCGTCAGCCGCTGAACTTTGGAGACCTCAATCTTCATTTTGCGTGGCAGGCACAGCGCTTTAGACGTGTCGGGCTGCGTGTTTGGCGAACCGCATTGTCAGGACTGCGTCAAGTGGTGACAACGAGCAAATTGCGTGGCAGGGGTGGCTTTTTGTGACATGTGATGAAAGTTGACGGAAGCCTCGCACGAAACATCGATTTTGAGGTAGCAGATTTTAGGCTTCATTGGGAAAATTGGCAAGAACACGTCGATTTTGTAGCTACAACGTGTGAACATACTGGGGGTTCCAAAAATGCTAAAATGGAGATACGCAAAAATGGATGGTTTTCAATGGAAAACTTTGTGAAATGGATGATCTGGGGATACCCCTTTTTAGGAAATGTCCATCTGAGGAAGTCTCGTCTCGATTCTCTGGTTTTCTTGTGGCGTCGCCGTGCCTACGGGGAAAGGTTGTAATGTCGTTTTTAGTGGCAGGCGTGGCATTTCAAGACATTCTCACGTGTCTGAAAAAGTGTCGAAAATAGTTTTGTGTGACGGGCGCAATACTGTGGCAAGGTTTTCCGAAGATGACTTCCATTTTTCGTGGCAGGCACAGCGCTTTGGAGGTGTACATGTTCACTTTGCGCGGCATGCGCGCTGCTTTAGACGTGTCGTGTTGCGTGGTTTTTGCCAGTCGCATTGTCAGGGCAGCGTCAAGTGGTGAGAACGTGCAAATCCCGTGGCAAGTGTGGGGCATCGTGAGAGAGTCGTTTTGCGTGGTAGGCGCAGCATGTGGTGAACATCCGCCGTGTGTGGAATGTCATTTTGCGTGGCAGGCGCAGTATTTGGGACACTTTCGTGATTGCAATTGCGCTTTCCGAATTGGCACGGCTGCGCGAGGTGTGATGTTGCCTACGTCTTTCGTGCCATTTTGCGTGGCATGGGCAGTACTTGGTGATGCTCTAGTCTAGACTCGACCCTCCCCACTCTACCTTCCACACTTTCCAAGACTACATTGAACATCTCACATCTGCACTCCACACTACACACCCCACACTTTTCACTGCACAGTTGACATTCCACATCCGCACGCTCTACAATCTACACTTCACACTACGCACCTTGCACTCCACACTATACCCTTTACACTCCCCCCACTACACCCTACGCTTTACACTCGATACTCCGCACTCTACACTTGACACTCCACACTCCACACTCTACACTTTACACTTTACACTTGACTCCGCGCTCTACACTTTACACTGCGCACTTTACTCTTAACACTCCACACTCTACACTGTACACTTCACACTTTGCACTCCGCAGCTTACACTGCACTTTACACTCCGCACTATACACTTTACACTCCACGCTCTACACTTTACCATTTATACTTTACACTTTACACTTCGCACTCTACACACTTTACGCTTTACACTCCGCACTCTACACTTTACCCTCTATGCTTTACACTTTACACTTCGCACTCTACACTTTACACTGAACACTGCACACTCTACACTTTGCACTTCACACTTTGCACTCTACACTTTACACTTCACACTGTACAATTTGCACTCCACACCCCTCACTTTGCACTCTACACTTTGCACTGTGCACTTTGCACTTCACACTCCGCACTCTACACTTTACACTCCACACTTTACACTCTACTCTTGAGACTTTACGCTCCGCACCCTGCACGTTACAAACCCCACTCTACACTCTACACTCCGCACTCTACACTCCACACTTTGCACTTGACATTTTATACTCTATATACACTGTACACTCCACACTCTACACTTTACACTCCACATTTTGCAGTTTACACAATCCACTCTCTGCACTTTGCACTTTACACTCGCACTCTATACATTCTATACTTTACGCTCCACACTCGGCGCTCTGCACTTTACACTTCACAGTTTACACTTAACACTCTACACTGTACACTTTACACTTCTCTCTAGACTCCAGAGTCTACACTCTACATTTTACACTCCGCACTCTAAACTCTGCAATTTACACTTGACACTCCGCACTCTACACTCTACACTTTACACCTTATAGTTTCCACTTTACACCGCGCTCTACACTGTACACTTTAGACTCCACACACTGCACTCTACAATCTAAGACTTTACACTTTACAGTACACTTGATACTCTACACTTGGCACTTTACACTCCACACTCAATGGGAATTTCAGGAACCTAAATTCGAGGTACCTACCATATATAAGGCCTATATAAGGCCTATGTAAGGGAATATCCCCACAAAATATGGCCTTATATGGTACAATACCTCTATTTTAGGATCTTGAAATTCCCATTGGCACACTGCACATTTGACACTTTACACTTCACACTCTACACTTTACAGTTGACACTCCACACTCTACACCCTACACTCCACAGTGCGCACTTTACAGTACACTTAACACTCCACGCTCTACACTTTACACCTTACACTCTACACTTTACACTTTACACTCCACACTCCACACTGTAGACTTAACACTCCACGCTCTACACTTTACACTCTACACTTTACACTCCACACTCCGCACCGTAGACTTAACACTCGACGCTCTACACTTTGCACTTTACACTTTGCACTCTACACTTTACACTCCACACTCCACACCTTACATTTTACACTCCACACTTCACACTCCACAATCCCCACTTCACACTCTACACACTACATTCCCCACTCAACACGCCAGTATTTTCACACTCCACACTTAGCACTCCACCCCATTCCATACTCCACACTGGTACGGTATGAGGAAAATATATAAGACTGTTGCAATAACTTGTTTCACAAAAGTGTTTTACGGGACTGCATTCAGGTTTGTTGGTTGGTCTTGTTTTTTTGGTCTTTGGCTGTGCATGTTGCAAGGCCTGCAACATAAGACATCAGCTGTGAGTTTCTAGACTCTAGACGTAAATTCAGAATCGCCGTGTCATGTGTCAAGGCGAAACCCACTGTCCATGATCTCTGTGATGTACCGGGTCCAGCATTTGCCGCTTGGATCCACGACATGGCACAGAAATGGACAGATGGGGTTGGAAGGATTGGAAGGCCTCTGAACTTGCCGAAGTATACCTTGACTCAGTGGCACCACTGTTGGCCTGGTGAAATACCTGGTGAAGAAATGTGATTGGTTTTGTATGTTTTTTTTTCCTGAGGAAACGATGCTCAAGGATCAGACTGCTGACTTCGTGTCTAGCCTGGCAGCTCTCCTGAGCACAACTCGGGATCAACGTCAGCCTGCGGGTGAAGGTGCCGTGGTGCCAATTTTGTTGGAGTCTCAACTTGGATTCACCCAAGGCTTCCAAATGTTCAAAGGTTTACGGCCGATCTGCAAGGCACTTGGCAATGATTTGTCGGCACCAGTTTCTGTCAATTTTCACCAGGGCTATGTCAGGGCTATGCTGGGTATTTGAAGGTGACAGTTTTTCGTAATTTCGACAGTTTCGACTCAGTGACCTCTGTAGCTGATCCGAGGCACTGCAGCATCTCCAACCGAAAGCACTGCAGCTTCCGAAGCTTCCGAAGCTTCTGCAGAGAGCAGGCAGGGAACGCCTCGTGAGGCGTGGTCCCAAGATGTCCCGAGATGTCCACCGTCCGATCTTGGAAGACATTGACAAACTTTCTAACAAGCTTGTGGTTGATCCTAAAGTTAGCCAAATTGGTAGTAAGGAATGATTTTTGATCATTTTTCATGTGTTCATTACAGCTGGACTGCAGTGTCGGCGTTCCTTTTGGATTTCCCACCAAGGCTGCTTTGACGAAAGTCAACATGCCAAGCAAACTGATTTGGAAGCAACTTGACCAGACCACTAGTACCGCCTTCCCAGAAAGGATGTCCAAAAGCCCCCGAAGAAGGAGGGTGTACCCCCTTTTTCCTGCATTGTGGGAATGGCTGCAACAGCCGAGGCCTAAAAGTGCTAACGCGGAGGGATTTCGACCGTCGCAGATAAGGAGGTCCTTTGGGATTTGGTCCAGTTTACAAGATCTTTGCAAAATCCGGGTAATTTTTGTCAAGAGCATCACCTTCAAAAGCGTGTCTTCGTGAGTGGATCAAAACCTCTTGAAGTCTTGCTTTTCTATTTTGACCTGGTATCTTTGAGCCTTGATACTTTAAGCTGTATAGAAGCTATCTCCGTTGTAGTATCGGTCTCCAAGAAACTCGTTTGCTTTTGGCTTATCCCTTGACCCAGTAGATTCTTCAAACATCCAAAGGTCCAAGCTGAACACATTCAGAACTGCTGAGTAGCATCTTCCAGGAATGCCAGAAAACTTTCCAGCATCATCGATTTTCCTGAAACTGAGAAACAACATGCGACAGGAGCATTTGCCAGAGAGCTCAAGTCTCGAAGAGGAGGTGATTGAGCGGGTGCGAACACAACTTTCTCAGCCAGGACAAAAGGGCTTTGTCTGGAGACTCTGCTGTATACAGAGATGTTTTCAAGACTTCTCAATATGGTTTGATCGTGTTTGATATGGTTTGATATGGTTTGACGATGAGTACATCGGTGAGTGCTCGAAGCTTTTCATAGGGAATGAAGCTGAAGGCCTTGCCACAAGCCAAACACCTCTGAGTCCTCTGAGGATTGAGAATTGGAATGAGCGCTATCAGAAGGAACTTGGAAACTTGCGAGCTTTCTTGGAGAGCAAGACAGTGCATCCCTCATTTTTTGGAAGTGCTTTTGCAGAAAATCGATGCAAATGAAATGCAAGTGTCTAGCGCAGGAATGTGCACGGACAGTGATGGTTTGCATGTCGATTCAACCAAAGCACTTAACCGAGGACTGCTTTGTTGTGAAGCCAGGAAAGGGACATGGGTATAGAGTCGAGGCTGGACTTATGGGCTGGACTTATGGATGTCTTGCCAAAGTGTGAAGACAGTCCTCCTGCGGAACGGAAGGTTCGAATATCCTGCAACCAGTTGAAAATCCAACTAGAGAGAGAGAGAGAGAGAGA